GGAATGCCTAAGGCCAAGTACTGCACGAGCAAGATGCAAAAGCTTCCTAATTACAGCCTTCTTATCCCACTATAATCTACCTAAAAAGTAGGGATGGGACAATATATCAAAATTGAACACATCGAAATACAAAAAAGTCAAAATATATCGTGTTGTCTAGCGATATACATCGTGTGGTCCCCATACCCCAGGGACCTAATTTTTTGTAAATAACAGAACTCAAGTCAATATACTGTATTTGGTTGTTCTTTACATAATCAAACCAGTGCTAGAAAAGGGGAAAAACGAGAATAAAAAAGTATCCCACAGCTAATCATACATTGTCATTGAATTTTAATTTGTATCGTAACTGAATCAAATCATACACATCGTATTGTGCCAAGAAAAAAAAGATCATACTGTCCTATCCCTACTAAAAAGACACGTTAAACTGATATGCCGTATTTGAATTGGGATACAATAATAAACTTTAACAGGAAAATGGAGCTGAAAAGAAAAACCTCCCCTGAAGTAATCCCCAACCCCCAGAGGTATGTCTGGGGGTTGGGGGTTAAGTCAGGGTTACCATGGGCAGCTCAGCACACACCTTCTAACCGCTCATACTGCCTCAGCTCAGCTCAAACGCCACTTTAGCAAACTGGTGCCGCAGCTTGGGAAGAAGAGAAGTCCAGATGTGTTTTAATATCAGAACTGTTCTTCAGCTGAAAAAAAAAAAAAAACATCTTGACTTAGTATTTAGTAAAAATAAGTTCGTACACTGGGTAAGACAAAAAAAAATGCAAATTTAAAAAAACATGAATAAGTTTAATTCCCATACAACTTTTTAAATACCATAAATAAAGCATTTCACATGAAAAAAAAACTCTTCTTTTCACAGCTCACCTGTTACTGACGTGTTGACTTCTACGGGGATTCACCTCCATTTTCTGCTGACTTGGGCTGGCTTTTAGATCTAGACCTTGATCCTCTATTGGAGGAAGGGGTACGGCTTCTTGACCTAGACTTGGAACGAGACCTGGATCTCGATCTGGAACGAGAATGGGACTTGGCCTCGGTCTTCTTACTTTTGGGAGAGTGGGACTTGGATCTTGAGTAGGACCGGGACCTGGACCTGCTGTAGCGGGATCGGCTTCTGGAACGAGAGCGGCTCCTGCTGCGGGATCTGCTCCGTCTTCTGTGCCTTGGGCTGGGGGAATAGCTGAATACATTCAGTGGGTTATCATCTACAACAGGAAAAAAGCTGCACTGAACTGAGGAAAATGTGACCTAGAATAGCTGCTTGTTGATAAAAGCAGAGGTACAATGAAGGAAGACTTTAGATCCCAAGACTCTGGACTAGGCAGTGGTAAACTGTCAGTGGATTAAGGCTGGGGGAAACAGACTTCACTTGCCCAAGAATCTATTCCCAGGTCTTGCCATCTAATGCCAACATAGGAGAGGCAGCATATCATTATATACAGTACAGTCTCATTACATTTTCCCTTTAAATTCAGTATCCGCTGTATTACTAACCAACAGTGGTGAAGTGAACAAAAAATAAATAATTAAATAAAATAAATTGGCCCAGTATTTAGATGGCTGTTCAAGCTGTTCACACTGTCTAAACATGTGAAAATGGCCTGTTTCAGTTGTTAAGGTTGTACAAGTCAAATATTAAAAAAACTGATAAATGAGACAAAGGGGCCATTTTTTTGGTCAAAACGTTTAAAAATGTGCAATATATTTTCTGTACCATTTTATTTTTTTGTCAAATACAAAATCCAGATTTGTTTAAACTAAATATAACAATCCCTGCAATGTTGTCCTTGTGATAAGAAGTGATGGGATTGTTTTATTTAGGATATGTTTAGGTCGCAGGTACTAAGTGCCAAGTAATAATTTGGTATCAAACGGAAATCATTCTCTCTCTCTTTTTTTTTTTTTTTTAACATAGTAGTCTGGTCTAGTTTTCTTAAGTAGCTTTAGTTAACCAAACTAGGTTTCTCCCTAGAGCAGCTATAGCCCAGCTTCTTCATGTGTCAAAAAAAGTAATAATTTGCAAAGCTGCACTTTCAAAGTAGCTTCCCCAACACTGCTAACCAAGCAGCTTGTTCAGAGAAAGTCCGAACTTTTAAAGTTGTCACAGTAGTCACACCGCCGTTAATTTGCTGTATTTGAGCTGCCAATTTTAAATTGTGTCTGGTTGGTTCAAGCCGTTGTTTCAAAAGAACTCCATGCTGGACGAATTCTTCAGTGTCTGTCGTGACCACATGCGTAAATATTGCTAATTACGTGTAGGATGCTGCTTCTTACCTTCCGCTTCGGCGTCCATAACCGCCATACCTCCTGGGTGGTCCCCCTCGCCGCCCTCCACCGTAGTAGGAGTCAGGGGGTCTACCATATCGGGCCATCTGGACACGTAACTCTCGTCCATCCAGGAGTGCGCCGTCCATAGCGTCCATCGCATCTTCGGCGTCGCGTTTGTCGTGAAACCGCACAAACGCAAATCCCCGGCTTTCTTTCGTGTAGCGGTCTCGGGGAATATAGACGTCTCCTACCCGGCCATACTTTTCGAAAACACGTCTGAGTGCTTCGGGCGATGTTCGGTAAGTGAGGTTGTCGACTTTGAGGGAAGTCATGCCATCGACGTCTGGCGGAGGCCGACCGTAACTCATGGTGACTAACGCGTGAAGCCTGGCAGTCTTCCTCAAAACTGTTTATACTGTGGCTACGATGGAGCCTGCTTGTTCGTCAACATAAATACGACGGTGTAATTTAAACTGAATATT